AGCCTTGAGAATGTTTATGACAAGTCATTTTGGAGGTGCCATAAGTCTCTAGGACAGCACTTTGCAACAAGTTAATGTGGAACTCATAGTGGCAAACTACTGTAGTACTAAGGAGACAGTAACTATGTTACAATGTGTGTGCCTGATTATGCAACAGTAACATATCAAATAGTTATAGAAAGTTACATTTTTGTTACAGTATTGTGATGTTTTGAAGGCTTTTTTTAATCTTGTAACAACATCCCCAACAGAGTAATGCTTTAAGTACATAAATGAAAGAAACAACCAAACACACATATCTAACTTGCCAACAGGATTCTAACCAATATCACCTCACTTCTAGGAAACAGGGCCACCAGATGTATACTTTTTACAGCAACTGATTTTGTTACAGCATTCCAGGAAGCTTTGATCAGGGCTGGGTCAGTCATTAATCAGTTAGGCAACTAATAACAGATGCTGAGCTAGGCAACAGTATTCTGGTTTTTCTTCCTGAGCGTTGGAACTTTCCCTCAATTGAAGAGCAGAGGTGTCCTGGTGCCCTGAATTGGACAGTTGGCTTCACAGAGGCCATGCGTCCTCTTTTATGGAGGATGGTTGAGCTGTCCTCCTTTTTGGTGATCCATGTCTTCCTTGTTCATGATGTGCAAGTGGACATTTGACACTATATATTACACCACAATTGTTATCATGTGACACTTTTATCAGATGAATAATATATATATAAAAAGCTACTTTTTGAGTTCTGCAGAACTCTTCATTAGGTTGGGCTCAGCAGAGTTGCTGAGGGTGAAGAAAAAGTTTCCAAAAGTCATCTTGGTCAGATTGTTAGGTTTAGGCTACTATGAGTAGTGAACATATGAAGTTAGTTCTTTGTGTGTAATAGAGGCTTTGATCATATATGTTTACCAATTAGCCCTCTCACATTTTAAAATAAAAAGTTGTGTGTGTGTATCACCCATGACATATGTATTTATGAATGGCAAGAATGATATTGCACGGTGTGTCAATTCTGTGTGATCTTCATCTAGGCAGAGCATGAAATTTTATGGATTTAAAAACTTCTATCTACACAACGGAAAAAGTTAATGGACCTACAGAGCAGAATTAGGTTCAAGTCTCACTTCAGTAGATTACCCTTTATTGTTTGGTCTCATCAGCTGTCTCAATAATTCACTCAGAGATACTGGTGAGAGAAAGAATAAAAAGTTCTGTTTACTCATAGTTCTGAATAGATTTTTTTAAAAGCGCATTGTAGAAAAATAATGACTAGTTACATGAACAGACCTTAACCGATTAACTAGCTTCATACTAACTACATAACTGACTGAATACAGATTCTAACTGACACAGCTAACTCTAACTAACCACAAACCCCTGACTGAAAAACATCAGGAAAAGGGTTTTTTTAGTATGTGTCTCTGCAAAATCTGAAGCAAAGAGGGAACAATTAGTTACTGCTGGATTGGTTACTACTCTAGAAAGGTGGCTTCCAGCCAAGAGCTTTTAAAGGCAGCATATGAACATTGCAATAATTCCATCACTTCAGACAGGAGATCAATCCCAGGACATCCTCAAAGCACTGTTCAGACCATTCCTTCAAAATACTGATTGGTGCCTAACAAGAAACCGACAGTGACCTCTGTTTATTTTCTTTCTATATATATTCATTTCCAGTAAGCTGGAGAAAATACAAGCCATGGGTCATTTCACAGTTATTAAGCACTAGACCTTATTTATTTATTCATTTGATTTATATCACATCTTTATCTGTAAGCAGGTGAGCTTCAGTTACTTACAAAGGTTCTACCTCTAAGTCCCATTTGCTCTCTGAGGGTCCTTGCCAAAGCTATGTTGTAGGCACAGGGTGGATTTCTTCTCCCAGGCAGTACTCAAGAATGAACACTGGAGCCTGGAGCCCAGAAAGATCTAGAACGGTGGAAGGAGGAAAAGAAGCAGGAAAATGCCACTGAAAAACTCTCATGCCAAGTGGAGAATTTACATGAGATAGATGAATTGCTGGGGACAGTCTGGGAAAGAAGAAGAAGAAAGTGAAACCGGTAACTGGGCTGGTGTTCCTTAATATAATGAGGAGCCTTACTCTACAATATGGCTTTGTGGCTTCAAAGCATAATCTTTCTCTAGCTGACTATATCCCTTACTATCTTAAATAACTCACCTTGGAGGAACAGAAGGAGCCTAGCAAAGCCAAGACCAGATCATGTGTTGCCCAAGAGGCCAAAATGAAAGTTCAGATCAACTTGGAGGACTTGACTCCAACCCAACAGCATCATTTGTGCTTGGACTAGCAGTTCAAACTTTCCTCCACCCCCATGAGAAAGGCCACTTTGGAAAAGAACTGATTTCACTACAACAATGGTTCCCAACTTTGGGTCCCTGGTGTGTACTTGGACCACAACTCCCAGAAATTCTGGCCACCACAGCAGGTGATGAAGGCTTCTGGGAATTGCAGTCCAAGAACTCCTGGGTTACCCAAAGTTGAGAACCATTGCCCTACAAATAACTTTCTGAGGAAAACCTAAGAAGCAATGTAAATAGTTCATAATTAACCTTGGGTTTGTTGTTTGAACATGTGGAGTCCTGTCTGAAATGATGAATGGCACCTTGGATGTCTTTTTTGATTCCCCTCCCTCCAAAGGAGGTTTACCACTTCCCATTATCTTAGGTTGCTTGGCTTAGTCATAATCTTGCACAATATGGGGAGTGCAGTAGCGTACTTTCATTTCAATTACAGTTATGATGTCTAAATTCAATGTTTACATATATTTGTTTAAATTAACATACACAAATGTAATACAAATATTCCCTTTTGTGTGAAGTGTTCTAGTTTTGTGTGTTCCTCCTGCTGGGTGTCAAACTTTTGGGTAATATCTGCCCCCCTTTTTGATGATAGAGCAGTGGCTACTCTACCTCTGGCATGAGGGAGGATTCTGCCTGTTTACCAATATTGAAGTAAGACCAAACTGACACTCCAGTAAAATTCCAAGTGCCGAAAGAAAGGGAGAACTTTTTTGTCTGATGTTCCCTTAGGGCATCGGCCCTGCTTGCCCACCGCAGGCTCCTGCAGAACGCAATCATCTATTCGGCAGGATAAAACATCTAATTGGCATGCTATTCTGCCAATTAGCAGGATAACATCTGTATTTTATTAGAATTGCCACATGAACTGGGATTGTACAGAACTAGTCTACAGATTTTACTTTCTTGGGCTCCATGATCACCACAGATGGTCAAAGCAGCCACAAAATTAAAAGACACCTGCTTCTTGGGAAGAAAGCGATGACAAACCTACAGTAGACAGCATCTTAAAAAGCAGAGACATCACCTTGCCAACAAAAATCCACATAGTCAAAGCTATGGTTTTTCTATATAGGGAAGTGAGAGCTGGACCATAAAGTATGCTGACCGCCGAAGAATTGATGCCTTTGAATTGTGGTGCTGGAGGAGACTCTTGAGAGTCCCCTGGACTGGAAGGAGAACAAACCTATGCATTTTGAAGGAAATCAACCTTGAGTGCAAAGGTTATGCTCCTGCCACCTGAGGGAGATTGAGGCATATGTTCTTCACCTGTCCATTGTATGAAGCAGTGCGAAAAGAGACTATAATCTACTTAATAGATAGATTCCCAGGACGTTCAGAGGAAAATAGGCTTCAGTTCCTTCTCTTGGATGTTGATATGCAGATCACCTGTCAAGTTGCGAAATTCTGTGTAGCTATACTTCGATTGCGTAAGTTAAATACCAATTAGATTGTAGTTTCCAGTTGTATGTATGCCAACATGTTCTAATGGAATTTTGAAAGTTAGAAATTTTAAGGTTTTATAAGATTTTATACTTATGTGACTTGTCTGAGGACTGTAAATAAATTTATTATTATAATTATTATTAACCCTGAGTGCTCACAGGAAGGATTGATCCTGAAGTTGAGGCTCCAATACTTTGGCCATCTGATGAGAAGAGAGGACTCCCTGGAAAAGACCTTGATGTTGGGAAAGTGTGAGGGCAGGAGGAGAAGGGGACGACAGAGGACGAGATGCGGTTCAATGACAGTGTCATTGAAGCTACCAACATAAATTTGACCCAACTCTGGGAGGCAGTGGAAGACAGGAGGGCCTGGCATGCTCTGCTCCATGGGGTCAGGAAGAGTCGGACACAACGACTAAACAACAAGTCTACAGCGGTGCTAATCAGTGTGAAATTCAAACTAAGGTGAAAGCAATTAGCAATGTGTGGGTACACTTTCGAGGGCTAAAGTTCCCATTTTAGGCATCCTTTTATTTGAGGGCTGCTATGGGCAACTTTCCCCCACAGAAGTGCCTCAGAAATACTCTCGGCTGAGGCCAAAGACGCCCCCGTGCATTCTGGAGTACGGACTACAACCGCATCACTTAAAGGCATAATATTTCCCTCACAAAAACACAGAAGAGTAGGAGTGAAATGGAGAGAAATATGTGATTTTTTTCCTCTCTCTCTCTCTCCTTCAAAGAGTCCCTTTCATCTCAGCTTCCCTTCCCCCCTCTGGGCAGATGACCATATGCCCTTAGGTCACTCTTCCAATCCCCCGCAGCCTCTTGTGACAGCAGCACAGCAAGCGACATCTGACACCAAGCACCACCGCCGCCCCAGCGAAAGAAAGAGCGCGCCTCTCCGCCCGGCGCCCCAGCTCGAAAGCGCACGTCCCTTGGCGCGNCCTGAAATGAAATCACCCCGAGGCCGCCACAGCAAAGACCCGGCGCCCAATCCGAGAGCTCCCCGTAGGTGGAGTCGCGGGAAGGCAGCACGAGAGAACAGGCAGCGAGGGGGCGGCACAGCGAGGCCCCTTCTGGCCAGGGGGAGCGAGGCGCGCTCCGTTTTCCCCGCCCTCCCCGAGGGGGTGTTTCCCCCGCGCGTGCGAGGTGTAAATCACCCCGAGGCCGCCACAGCAAAGACCCGGCGCCCAATCCGAGAGCTCCCCGTAGGTGGAGTCGCGGGAAGGCAGCACGAGAGAACAGGCAGCGAGGGGGCGGCACAGCGAGGCCCCTTCTGGCCAGGGGGAGCGAGGCGCGCTCCGTTTTCCCCGCCCTCCCCGAGGGGGTGTTTCCCCCGCGCGTGCGAGGTGTCGCTGTTACACAAGGCGTCGTGTTGTTGACGTCCAGTCTCTGCTCTGGGGAGAGCAGGAGAGGGCTGTTTTCGGACGGTGCTGGCGGCAAAAAAAAAAGGCGGGAGGCTAGCCCAGGTGAGTGCGCCTGAGGGAGACAGGAGGAGGGAGGCGAGGAGCTTAGGAGGCACCAGAGCCCAGCGGAAGGGCCGAAGGATGTGCTGCCCTCCCAGCTTGCACGGTCAGAGAGCGAGACTTTAAAAGGGCAAAGGGAGCAACGTGGTGCTTTCAGGCAGGGGGCGCACAACACGGGTGGGATTTCTGGTTGTCTGGATGCAACTCCGAGGCGAAGAATGTGCTAGCTAGCCCAGGTCTCGGCTGGCGAAGTCTACCCAGGAGGGCACAAGAACTCCGCCAGCCCGCCCGTGAAAAACGAGCAGTTTTCGGAGAGGGAGCGGTGTGCATCTATTTCGAGGCACATTACAAATACAAGTTATTTATTTATTTTATTATTACCTATTATTATCTGTTATTGTTAGCTGCGGTTTATTTTTTGTCATGTGTTCGTTTATACAAAAGAAAAAAAAAGAAAGAATGGAGGAATTGCAGATAATAACAACAAATAACGTATGCTGTAATAACACACTAAAAATAACGTTTATTTTTGTGAGCGCTTTTGTGGGGTTACAGTCTACTTTCTTAGACAGTACAAACTAGTAAGTTGTAGATAGCAGGGCTAGGTTGGGTGAGAGTCGGATTAAAATTTATAAACCACACACAACAGTGCCTCTGAGCACATACAGAGTGCAAGGAATTTGCTCTGGGGTCCAGAACTCAACTCATAGCCCTGTCCTATTTAGCTTTGGTTCTGGCCTCCTCTCTTCCACCCCAGTTTCACCTTTGAACAGCAAGGAAGGAAGAATGGGCCTTTTTGTTGTGTTATTGCTAGAAAACTGGCAGAAAGGCATTTGATATGGTCTCTCACCTAAAGACTGCTGAGAAAACTCCTTCCTTAGTCAGGGGATAAGAGGGCAGGTTCTTTTATGGAGTGAGAATTGGTCGAGAATCAGGAAACAGAGAGTAGGTGTCAATGGACAATTTGCACAATGGAAAGAGGTGAACAGCAGACTGGGGCATCTCCCTTATGCGGAAAGGCTACGGTGTTTGGGGTTCTTTAGTCTAGAGAAAAGGCAGGTGAGAGGGGACATGATTGAGGTGTATAAAATGGTGCAGGGGATGGATAAAATGAATTGAGGGAAGTTCTTTTCCCTCTCACACAATACTGGCACCAGGGGACATCCACTCAAATTGAGTGTTGTGAGAATAAGAACAGATGAAAGAAAGACAATGTTTCTTCACCCAGCTTGTTGTTAGTTTGTGGGATTCCTTGCCACAGGATCTGGCCTAGATGCCTTTAAACAGAGATTGGTCAGATTCCTGGAGGAAAAGTCCATGGCAGGTTACAAGCCATGATGGAGATGATTAATCCGAAAGCTTAAAAGAAAGGTACTTTAAAATGCCAGATTGAGGGGAGGGGTATCTGGATACAGGTATATAGTTGTCTCATGTGCTCCCAGAGGCATCTGGTGGGGCCACTATGAGATACAGGAAGCTGGACTAGATGGGCCCTTGGCCTGATCCAGCAGGGCTCTTCTTATGTAAAACTTTGTTAATTTATCAGTTTGGTTTTTGCCATCACTTCAGAACTGACTTCCCGTGATCCTAATAGGGCTATCATGGTAAGATAAATACCGGTATTTAAAGAGTGGCTTTACCGGGCTCAGTGGTTTAGGTGTCTAGCTGCAGAACCAGAGGTTGGGAGTTTAATTCCACGCTGTGGCTCCTGAAAGAAGATCCGGCCTATGTGGCCTTGGGAAAGCTGCACAGCCCCAGGGTGCCCCCAGAAGAAGGGAATAGTAAACCACTTCTGAGTATTGATTACCTGGAAAACCCTGAAAATTCAGAATTGACTTGACAGCAGATGATAATGATTATTATATCAGTTCCGCACTGCAAGTAAGTTTCCATGGCTGAGTTGAAACTTGAACCCAGGTCCATCACTCTGTCTATTACATCACACTGGGTATCTCAATGAAGAGATATTACATAATCCTAATCTACCTTTTTGCTCAGGCCAGGACGTGGTGGTGCTGTGGGCTAAACCGCAGAAGCCTGTGCTGCAGGGTCAGAAGACCAGCAGTTGTAAGATCGAATCCATGTGACGGAGTGAGCTCCCGTCGCTTTTTCCCAGCTCCTCACCAACCTAGCATTTTGAAAGCATGCAAATGCGAGTAGATAAATAGGTACCACCTCGGTCGGAAGGTTAAAAACAGCATTCCCTAGTCATGCTGGTCACGTGGCAACGGAAACTCTTCGGACAAGTGGTGGCTCTATGGCTTGAAAACGGGATGAGCACCGCCCCCTAGAGTCGGACACGACTGGACTAAAAATGTCAAGGGGAACCTTTACCTTTACTACCTTTTTGCTCAGCCTGCAGACAGAAACCCAGGGTGTAGAGGGTAATTGTAATGTTGTTATTTTCTTTATCCAGGATGTTGAAGACTATAAAGCAAGCACTCTTTTCCAGTGGCCTAGAGATGCCCAAATGGACAGCACTGCCAAACCAGGTGATTGGTGTTGAAATTTCCAACATGAGTAAAAGGAAAACTTCCATATAAAATGTTTAGAAATTGATCTCTCTGAGTAGATGCATGATGGAACAGAGAAATCTGTATAAAAGTCCACAGGTTCCTGAATATTCCTGAATACAAGTTATAGGGTTAAATCCCCATGACGAACACTAGATGCTAAAATGTTAGAGCCACAGTTCACACATGAATGGTTCTCCTGTGCAAGTGCCACAGAAAATAGTATAACGAGCACCATACAGTCAAATCACTCGTGCTTGTTCTGCATTCAGGCAGATTTAGGTATCCCTAGAATCCCCAGAATCAGATATAGATATTCCAGGGCAAACTGCATTAGAAAGAGAAGGTAAAGAGTTTGTCCCACTTCCAAGATAAGTAATTGAATATAGATTCCTCCCCACCCCCACCCCGCCAAGGAGATATTATCCTTTCCATATTGCTTCTGGCTCTTCTTTCTTGTTCATGGCCATATGCAGCAGAAAGACTAGGTAGTATATGGGACTATCCCTCCCATTATACAGGATGAGGCATTAGACCCATATGCTAGATCAGTGGTTCTTAACCTTTGTTACTCGGATGTTTTTGAACTGCAACTCCCAGAAACCCCAGCCAGCACAGTTGGTGGTGAAGGCTTCTGGGAGTTGCAGTCCAAAACTCCTGAGTAACCCAAGGTTAAGAACCAGTGTGCTAGATCATGGAAATGGAAATAAATGTTAAATGAGTTAAATTGAAAGCAACTTTGATTTTCTGTCAAATTAATACTACGACTTTTCATCCTTGAAAGATGAAGAATACTAGGCTAGTATTGGAAGCAGAGAAAAGTGGATGTTTAAATGTAGAGAACTCAAATTACCAGCCAGATTTTGGGATACTGTTTCGATCTATCAACCAGTATAGTTTACTCCATTAGAGCTTCAAAGCCATGAATGTTAACTTTAGATTCTAGTAAAAATATACAATAGTCCTAGTTAACATTCTTTAATTATAGTCCCATGCTGTACAATGAGAAGCAGACATTGGAAAGCTGGGATGGAAGAATGTATAAGGGTAGAAATAGAATAATTCCTCTTTCAAAAAATTTCCATTCAAATTCATCCTCTCCAAGCTGCTTTTTCACCATGGGAAATCCTATTCTTATTGCTTTTCCAAAATGCATTAAGAATAGGATTTTGATAGAGGAAACAGGGGAGAAGTGGATCCCTCCTCCCAACATCCTTTATTCTGGAGTTTGGT